AGTTTGTTGGCACACACGGCTGTTTATGCCTCAGGTGTGCATAAGTCATTCATTTCAGGCTCAGAAACATGACATCACCCCTTATAAGTATTCCGAACAGTTGCAACCTGGTCGCGCCCACAAAAGATGACGCCAAGCGGCGCAGAGGATACAGGCGCCGGTTTGTATTACCGCTCCACTTCTGGAGCCGAATTCGCGAAGCATTTCAATCATATGAGCTGTTCGCTAATCTTTTCATCATCGCTGTCGGCTGGTATGTGCTCTCACAGACTGTGCTACTATAGGAGCATTTTTGTGAATGCTGGCTTTGGTAGCCACAATTTCTATTCTGCTGGCGTCGTTAATAGCTGCGACTGTACGAGAAACTTGGATAACAAAATCAATCAAGCCCATCATTCATGAATCTTCAAATGAAAATAAAAAATAGATGAATGAATCACGGAAAGTCTTCACGATTGTTTATATAATAAAGAAATCGTAAAGACACCACTAATAAAACCTATACATAAATTGGTGAATACCCGCATATTACGCGTATCACAATTCTGACTATATGACATGAGACAAGTGGGAGTGGTCTCTTTCTAATGATGCTGAAATAGTCAAGTTTGCCGCAAAGCTCATATAAACTTCAGTAGCGCAGTGTATACAATTATTATGACTTTACCAAAGCCCTTGATGATGAGTTCAGTATAGTTGCACAATGGACGACAGTGATCTACATGTGTGAGCGAACCATCAGGTGCCTATCCTTGATAAAAACCATTGGTGCCTAGTGGTTGTGACGATGACGTATGTGGCAGTCGGGATGGTAAAGACGAATTTAATGGGTGAAATTGCGCCCAGGAAACTTAAGTCACAGAACAAGCAATACATGCTGTACTACACTGATAGTGGCGATCAGTGCACGGCCGTTTTCTGGTCCGCGGTAAAGTGTGCCAGCATCTGTATGAATATGGCATCGAAGGTTCCTGCCTTATTATCGTTCGTAGTTTCGTTAGTTCTTGAATAAGCTGTACTGTTGGCGTTGTGCACACAAGCTTATCAAAAGAATCTAAAATAGTCCAAAATGCTCCTGGAAACTTCGACGCAGCCTGAATTAAGGCAGTGGTTACCCGTGTAACGGATCGATTACATTTAATAAAGTTACAAGTTCGCCGCAAAGGCGAAGCAATTAATGCGATAGCAACAAAATTCATTGTCATGCTAAAAATGGCAAGCAGATCAAAACGTGCCCCCGCGTTGCTCACGCAAAAATGACGCGCGAAACGTACTCACAGGTACAGATTAACGCGAATGAGTGTCTCAGTTCATACGTCACTGTCTGAAAGCGTGCCCTTTACACAGAGACTCGTGCGCCCGGTAAGTACAACAGACTTGATTTGATTGATATGTTTATTTATTTGTTTCATAATACTGTCAGCTCTCTCTTGAGGGCTCTTACAGGGAAGGTACAACCAAATACAAACCAACCAAAATACATCTGTCAGGTGGTAGCGCAATCGTTAATACATGTGTAACACTTTATCAAATCGGCAAACACTGCCTACGTTTACAGCAACGCCTGGCTACGCATTACAAGCCTTAAACAAAGCTGGGGCAAAGAAAACAAAGAAACTCAAACCAAGGAAACATGCAGGCTTATCATCTGACAGCTCCATCACTCAAATGCATGTCCAACAATTTTTCGTATTGGCAAAGATCGCTTGCATTTACTACAATGTCCTGGCAACGCATTCCATTGCTCAATCGCAGCTGAAAAAAAAGAATGACAAAACACATCGCTCCGACAAAAGTACGATACTAAAATACAGTCGTGATAAACCCGACTGCTTTGTTTCCCTGGCACTTTTAGTACAAATCTTTGTTAATTTTTTAGTTGTCCTTGCAGCACCCTGAAAGGAGCTTTCAACCGGTTCTTTTGTCTTCGTGTCTCAAGTGATTCTAGTTCGCAGGACTCCAACATCTGCGTGACAGAATCTAACCGGCGGTAATTCGTGCATAAGAAGCGGATGGCACATCGTTGAGCTTTTTCTGATTTTGTTCTCAGGTTGTCTTGATGAGGACTCCACATGACTGAGGCACATTCTAGTAGTGGTCTATATAAAAATTAACGTCCCAAAAGCATCATATGATTATGAGAGATGCCGTAATAGAAGTTTCCGGAAATTTAGACAACTTATAAGGTTCTTTAGCGTGCACCCGAAACTGAGCACATGGGCCTACAGCATTTTCTTATCCATTGAAAATTCAACCGCCACAGCTAGGATTTGATCCCATGACCAGCGAGTTCATAACCGAGTACTTTAGCCACTAGACCACCGCGGAGGCCAACTACAAAAAATGGTTCCAGTGAAAGCCCAAGGGGTGCAATTCTCCACGCCGCGAGATAAGCGCGCGCGCGTGTGTGCGTCTTCCCCACCACCACCATCCTCCTTCTTCAGCGGGGAAAATACGCGTGCGATATGAACGCATGAGCGCGCGTCGCCGCGTTCTGACGAATTGGTGACGCGCGTTCTTCGCGCCATTTCGCTGGTAATGCTTAAAACACGAATTGTTCCCCCGAGATCGGCATTGCCAGCGATAAGTGGCAGGTATAAATGGCTTGCCGTTTCAACGATGGAAGGAGGTGTTCCTTCGTGGTTCAGTGGCTAACGCCACGCACTCGCTAGCAAGAGGTCGGACGTTCGATGCCACGTGCCGGAGTCTTTTTCTGAATTATTGTTCTTTCTTGCGTTTCCATATATATACATATGTATACATATATGGCGAATGACGGTGCTCACCGACGCCGGCGGCAAAATTCAGCCGAGAATGTCCATATAATTGTTATTGCAATAACAGAAAAAGAAGCACGCGTGGCCGTATACGATTTTGTGGATATTCATGCCAGATATGTACAAAATCTATTTCGTGTTATTATTTATTTGGAAGCAAATACATTTTTGGTAGTTATGTAATTGCTTGTTTATTTTTACTTGGTCTCTGTAATTCAGTGATCGTCTCTGCAATTACATGTACCGTTATTTCATTCGTTAAGACAAGGTTGTAACAGGGGGTGCCATTTTTAGCAGTTGTATTTCGCGTGAGCAACAGTATGAAGGGCCGTAACAGGTGGGGAGTTGAGGGGGTTCGACACCCCCCGGAATTTCTTCATACTTCTATGTTTTGGGGTGGTACTAAAGTATTTACATTCCCTCACACTGACCACTATAGTTACCAAAGTTAGCCGTTCTACACATAAACAACCCTGATAATGGTTCCTCGCCATGGCCCCAGGATTACGGCATTCCCGCAATCATCACGCCCCGCCGAGGAGGTCTAGTGGCTAAGATATTCGGCTGCTGACCCGCAGGTCGTAGGATCGAATGCCGGCTGCGGCAGCTGATTTCAATGGAGGCGAATGCTGTAGGCCCGTGTGCACAGACTTGGGTGCACGTTAAAGAACCCCAAGTAGTCGAAATTTCCGAAGCCCTTCATTATGGCATCTCATTATCATATGTTGGTTTTGGGACGTTAAGTCCCCCATATCAATAATCAATGCCCGCAATCCTGGAACGCGGCAGCCTGATGTATTCACATGTTTGCGTAAGAAAACCAAATATTTCTACATTTCCGGCAACATATTTGGCATTTCGCTACGCTTCCGCTTTTCGACTTCCTTCAATACCTCCTGACCTTTCAGTCTATGAATTCCCCATCATTGCCCCAGCGTTTTCATTATTAATGAAGGTTCGCTGTGCAATGGAAGGACGTGCCCAAATACTATGTACACAAGCAATTTGTGACTTCAAATGTCCGCACCTTTACGTTTTACGACCGACTGCTACGAGTCGCTACGTAACTGCAACAGCATTTTAGTTGACGAATGCTTCATGAATATAATTTACGTTTATACATAACTTGTTGACTTGCACAAGCAGAGAGCTCGTGACTTGAACACGAGTTCTCTGCAACGATACACAGCACAGCTGAACTGAATATTTTTCGACGTGCGAGCCGCTCCGTTTGGAACACACGTTATAAGCAACTTTTCTAGTGTGAAGAGGCAAAGAAATCTTCACACATAAAATCAGAAGCAAATTACCATAAATGTATTATTTACTCATTATTTATTCATCAGTTACTTTTCTGAGGCAGGAGGTGGTATAACAGCATACGTACGTTTTCATGGAAAAAATGTGGGCTTTCTTTGTTTTCTGCTGTTGGCGCCACCTGTAGTATAGTATTGGCAGTGATTGTAGTTATAAGGGCTCGTCTCCATCAAGGGGAAAATCAGGCACTTGGTGCCCATCCTGCTATTGCGCGTTTATTCTCCTACCAGAACGGCCTGTTTTTCAAATCTCGTGATGCCCACGCTGGATATTGTGCTTTCCAAGTTACCTTATCACGGGCAGAACAGCAACTCGGCGAGATAGAGAGGGTGTGTGTGTGTGTGTGTGTGTGTGTGCGTGTGTGTGTGTGTGTGTGTGTGTGCGTGTGCGTGCGTGCGTGCATGTGTGTGTGTGTGTGTGTGTGTGTGTGTGTGTGTGTGTGTGTGTGTGTGTGCATAGAGGTATGTGCGAAATTACCTATTATAGAGGTAAGGTGTTATAGCTGTCGTCGCATCAACTCCAATTCCCCAGTATGTCCTCTCAAGATACAACGTGCTTCACTATCGATGAAAGAATTTTGAAAACGAAGCGATGATTTGCTTCTCACAACGGCCAGCATTTAGGCCGCTTGCTTTGCTGAAGTGGAGGAGGTGCGACTGTAAACAATTCTGGGAATGCAACAACATCGGCATTCGTTCGTCATTATTGTCAAAGCCTGCATAGTCGTAACTCTGCTCTTTAAACTTTGATCGGACAGGTCAGACAAAGTAAACGTGTGGTACTAAATTGTCGCCCTTTATTACGCGATCAGGACGTGTGGCACCTTCTACCCCTTTCGTGCGCACGCCTATATGCATGTGGGGCAGTCGCACTTTCACAAGGAAATCATTCTTCCGTTGTTTGCAGGTGTTCCGGCGTGCCAATACCCAAGCGTCCGCGATGGGGCACGTATTTTATCGAGAGTGAACTACTTCTACCGCATCAACGAGACGGTGTCGTTCGAATGCCCTGAGGGCTTCCAGCTACGCGGTAGTCCCATGATCCAGTGTGTGGCCAAGGGCCGGTGGTCGGCCGCCGTGCCCAGGTGCCAGCCGTTCGCCCCGTCAACGTCCTCCTTCCATGAGAGGAGGCTCAGGAGGCACCACCGGCGCTGGCAGCTCGCCACACCCGTCGCGGCTCACCGGAGCCTGTGACCAGGCTAAGCAGCACGCGCTGAGCTCGTCTCGTCAAGTTCGCTCGCAGAGGTCGCTCGCGTTGCAGCGATCGCATATTAATCTATCACTTCGTGGCCAATCGTTCTCGTGGGCCGATAAAAAACTGTAGGTAGTCTGGCTCAGTTGCACCTATAGTTTCGTCATCAGCCGCCAGAAGCTAGCTCTCATGATCGTCCTTGTATCGTCCTTGGCTACAGACACTTCCAGAACGTGGAATTCAATGACGAATTTTCTCCCATTCAGCAGTGGGTGGGTTCATCACACATATGTTGGCGGTACTCACACAGGGCGTTACGCTGCCTATGAGGCCGTGAAAAAGAAATCATCTTCGATTCTCTGTTGTTACCGATCTCGTTGTCACCGGTACCATTTAAGCACTGCGAGATTTCGCATTGTTCTCTATCTTTCCCTTGCTGTCGCTCTCCTATTTTCCGTATTCTTCATTAACCCTGGTCGAGCTCAACGAAAAGTGACTCTATTCGGTTCGTTGTCCTTGTCTTGTGTGAGAGAAGTGCGATAGATCTGCTGGACTTGACCTCACCTTGGCTGAAAGCTGAGCCTGTCTTAGCGCCGCTCTTTTTGTTTAACATTTTATCCGAATGACTTTTGGCCCTGGACAACCAACAAGCAACGTAATGTAGGCAAGTCTACTCTTGTTAAACTTCGCCATTTCAGGGCTTTGTAGGACTGTTTGCCTTAGACTGACCTTGATTCACTCGTTTCCAAAAAGTCAAGACGTCTGTCATGGCATCGTGAACGCCAGCACATTAAGCACAACTTATTCTGTCTTCGTTAGGACACCAAAGTGAAAACATTTGTATAATGCATTTGCATATCTTTTCAGAGCGGCGGTGCAAAAACACTCTTCGGAGTAGACGACTAGAATCGTATCATCTTGTGATGGCGCATCTTGATAGAGCCCATGGGTGGCAGTGACGTTTTCACTGACTGAATGAAAGGAGTGCTGCGTCCAATGGCGTAGCAAGGGGGTTGCATACCCGGCCCGTGCACATCCCCCCCCCTTTTTTTATCATGACATACAGAGCACGGATTGACACTCGACCACATCTGCATGCCCGACCACTACATTCAGATCAAAAAGGTTCTCTTCCCCCGTGCCCCGAAAAAATATCTACCTACACCCCTGGTTGCGTCACTAACTATTCGTCGTAAAAAAGAAAACGAATGGACTTTTATGCTGAAACATAATTGATTACTTGCGTGCTGCTGAAGTCACTGAATTTTTCTTTCAGGAGTAACCTATAAGACAAAATAAATTATTTCATGCTGTGAAATGAATGTAACAGAGTAGTCAGCGTCTAGATTTTTGAAGGCGAAAGATAAAACGATATTTTTTTTCGTGTAGACATTGTTCATTGTACCCGAAAAAGTCATTGTTTTAAGGAAGGATATGCACATGGCGCGCATATGCAGCATGGGCAAATCCTGAAACATTAGTGACATAGATTAGGTATACGTTGTTCTTTCCTGTTTGAAAACTCGCCATTGAACGACGGAACACTGTGCTCCACCGGCTGCGATGGGATGCGAAATACTCGGTGCAGTGCTTCAGTGAATCACCTGCGGCGCCCAGAACTGTCCAAGCAGAAGGGCACCGATCAACCCAGCGGACGTGTGGTGCGTACGGCGGGACTACTTTCTAATGTGCGCCTCCATCTAGTGGACACCGTGATGCGCGCGTCGCCCGAAGTGCCGTTATGAACGCTCTCATTCTCCAGCAAGATGAGAGAGAGCCAAAAAGCATAAAAAATTACCAGAACTGTTTACGTCTTCCACATTGACAGTGCACACAGCTACGGTTGTTTTGCAAGTAGCGGAAGTTTTTGTCAATGAGTTGACGTCCTTTATTACCCGAGCTGCAAGAGCACGAATGTGTCACAAAATAGATATAAACAAAAAAGAAAAATAAGAAATGTGGTTAAAAAATTTTTTTGCTCTTCACGTAGGAAGAGCAAAGGTGCAGTGCGCTGTCATAAAAAATAAACCTTATTTGATATTTCACAGTGCTGCATCACTATGAAAATTATGAGTATTTAATGCGCAAACAAGTTCTCTTGAGAATCTACTGAAGAGTTCGCTAAAAAGCTTTAGACGCCTCTGCAGCTCTCTGTTCTGCACAGAAGCGTTCACTAACGTGGTAATTTTGCCGTAAGCGTTATCACTCTTGCAGCTGGGGGAAAAATTGAAGTTGTAGAGCTTTCAACCTAAATACCTACGTAGTCGCAAAAAAGTCCCCTCCTGCGATGAACCAGCTTCAAAGAGAAAAAAAAACAGAAAGCGATGTCTTCTCACCCCGTGAAGCACTGCATCCTTAGATATACTCCTGTTCTTGCGCATATAGACTAAGTGTAAACTTCACTATGTATACTTATAGAATCGTGAGGGTGGCGTTGTCGGTACATGTATCAAGTATGAGGAAATCGTTTCATATTCTTCATAAGCTAATCGCTGTGGATATGTGTCATGTCAGTCAGTCAGTCAGTTTATTTCCCTTAAAGACCCCCAAGGGGGTATTTTGTGTGAACAATGTGCTATGTTCGAGTGACTGTTGTATACACCGCATTTCGAGCGTGTTTCGCAATACTACTACGTTTTGGTGGGGCGTTATAGTTGTCAATTACGCATTGCTAAAGTCATTCACTCGATTCGTCTAGGACGCCGCCGTAGTGGGGACCGAGCAGATACATTTCAGAGATAATGAAGCCGTAGTGCAAAACCTCTCTATCTATTCTGAACATTTGACAGCTTATACAGGTTACGTATAGCTACGGCTGCCTTTTGTAGCGATTTCAATGGTTCCGACGTAAAGCATTCAGACGATTAAGTGTGAAGAGTGCAGTGCTGAGCCGCCCTGGTTACTCAGATTTGTGAGGCAGCAAGCGCTTTGAAGTAGTTTCCTGTGAATCTCCCAGAACTTCATTGTCAGCTCCAAAGTACGACCACATTAGCTGGAAGAGAAAGAGCCGTTCACAACGTAGTCTCATTCTTGATGTGCCACTCATTGTGAATATATGCCATGCAAATGAACAGTATCAACATGCTCGCTTACTTCGTACTGACAGTGCCACTTGCTAGTGACTCATGAGAGACGATCGTTCCTGCAGTGTAGCAGATGGATACACGTCAGTGCTTTTGTTAAGCATTTAGCTAATGCAAAGGCTTTCTGAAAAATTACAAGACTTATCTAACGTCCCACGTTGTATTGACGGCATTATTTCCTGTTCTGTTCCTCATTGAACGTCTGACTTGGACCATATGTTCATTTACTAATTCCCTCTATTTTTAATCAATTAATCAAAACAACAGCTTTTCTAGCTGTACAAGTCCCCCTTACAGTTTTGCGACTGGCACATGTTCAAATATAAAACAACGCTGCAGACCATCACCGGGGTTGGTGTGTTACAAGAAAGACTCTTTAAAGGGACCCTGCAACACTTTTCGAGCATGGTCCGAAAACGCTACCGATCGGTAATAGAGGCTCCCGACAACACTCGAGCCAAATATTATAGCGAGGCACGTGGCCTGGAACTCACAATAAATTATCAAAGTCAGCTAAACATTGCTTTCTCTGCTTTCGACAAATCACGGAAGACGCTCGAAAATCACTCGTGAAAAGACCATCTATCAGCCATTCGCTGGTTTTAACATGGTGCGCTCGGTCGTTACCTAGATCGTCGCGGGAGTCCGTGACTTTTGACGCATGTGCACGCGATCACACTGAAAAAGTCGTGCATTTGAAGAAAAAGAAAAAAAGTGCACAAGGTCACGAGTTGAGCGTGACGTTTTTCTTTGCCCCTGCCATCCCTCCCTGCTTAGTGTCCAGCGCTTCGTCTGGACGAGAAAATATAGAATGTAGTTTAGTGCAAAATAACAAAAATGCCGACCAAGCTGAAATACACAAAACTTAAAAACAAGCTCCGCCACACGGGAGCCTTGTTCACAGTGACCGCAAGTGGCGTAGTGCGCTCTTCTTTTGCGCGTTTCATCCCGTGTCGCAGACATCGCGCGTACACAGTGGGTAGTGTCCTAATATTTCTGTTCAACGTACGCGCAGTAGTTTGAATGGCCAGAGATTCCATATGCATTCATAGAATTACATAGAATGTAATTGCAGCATGCCATAAATCTTTGTAAGTCCACTCGCACTGGACGGATTCTTAAATTTTTGCGGCATTAACTTCATGGGGTAATGAGCTCTTCTAGTGAATTCATTCAATGGTTACTTGAATATGTGTTTCAGGACCCCTTTAACGGAAGATTGTCGGCACATCTCAAGGCTCACTGGTAGAGTGTTAAAGAAAGGTTTGAACTATAAGCATAGCTGGTATATTGCAAATGATCTGTGAGCGAGAATATTAACTATGTTATTTGCTTGGAAGAATTTGTTTTCAGCAGACAAGCAATGCTTTTATGGGTTTTCTTGTGTTTTAACCAACGTACTCAGCTGTTTCAAAAGTGTAGACAGTGCGCTCTTAGCACAGATTGTCATTTCTTTCTTTCCGAAGTGTTCGCGCGGGTAGTATCAGTGCCTCACGAGTCGGTTCTTTCATTTTTGTAGGTCTTTCCAGACAAGACTGCGCAACGTTTCTTAGCATTCTTTCGTATACAGTCGTTATAGTTATCTCTCTTTGTGTGTATGTATGGGCGCTTGTGTTTACTTTCTATATTCATATATAGCCTAATAAAGCTATTGTTCCACTAAGAAAAGTGTTTTTCATCTGCAAAATGAGTGTCCACACAATACCTGAAGTATCCACATTGTTGGCGAACTCGTGCTGCTCACCCCCCCCCCCCTGGCAAGTCACCACGTTTTAGGCTACATCCGCTTCCTATCTCGGCTCTGCTTATCATGTTTGCGCACTCAGCTCTAAATCTTGTGCCTCCATGACATTCATAAGCAGCCTCATAGGCACTGTGACTCCACGCTGCGTTGGAGTTCAGGCCAACGAAGAAGGCTCCGAGAACGCAAAAAAATGATGGATGGACAGACGGACGGACGAATGATGGAATGGATGGATGGATGGATGGATGGATGGATGGATGGATGGATGGATGGATGGATGGATGGATGGATGGATGGATGGATGGATGGATGGATGGATGGATGGATGAGCGGGTGGGTGGGTGGGTGGGTGGGTGGACGGGCGGACAAACGGACGAGTGGGCGGGTGGGTGGGCCGGTGGACAGATGGACTAAGTTATTTTAAGTTTACTTTTATGCATAAATTCTTCACCACACTTATGTAAAAATGGTGTAGCTGATCACACAGAACTCAATCCAACCTTCTTTTCTACATCCGCTCTGTGTCGGTGCTAACTCCTGTGCCGCTCTGCAAGGCAGGCATTATGATGCGTCATCATCCTATGTATGTACACTGTCAAGCATGGGGTAATTATTTATTAGAGTGACCACATTATGACGCTGACCGTCAAGTGCTGGCATTTTCACAGCACTCGAACACGAGTCCCAAACATAAGCGCAATGTGCATTTTGTACTAAAATAGGAGGCCCTTCAGCTCTTCCACAATTTCTTGCGAATTCGCAAAACTAAGAGCCTTATGTACGGGTCAGCACAGTTACGTATATAGGACGCAGAGAGCACCGTGGATTTCTTAACCCTGTCACAATCTAGCGTAGTGTTAGCCGTAATTTTCAGCTTTATAGTTCTGGTAGCCTACATATGTGCTATATATTCTGCTTGCTAAAGACATTCGCAAGAAGCAATTGCGACAACAGCGGTCCCCTTGTTTCCATTAGATATAGCATACAGCTTCAGATTTTGAAACATGTGACTACAATAAATGAAGGCAGAACCAACATGACGTAAGCGAAAGTGGCATCATTTTACACCAGTTGTATTTTGAAGTTATTGTCGTGAATAGGGTCATTAGAATAATCAACGTGGATGACATCTCTCATCGCCATTCCTGGCGTATGTACACCATTCACGAACATACGGGTAGTCAAAAGTTCCCAGGCCAATATTCCATGCATTACAACCGAAGCGCGGCATCGGAACTTTTGACCGGGGCAGTACTTCCCAAGACAGGCTGACGGAAGTAGTGTGAATGCAGTTATGCTCTTTCGTACGCGAAATTACTCTCTATTGGCATCTACAGTCGTAATAACATGAACAATAAAAGGTTTCTAACTAAAGCACTTTTCTAATTTGGTTTGGATTCACACTTTTTCGTTCTGCGTCACTTTCACACAGTAAAAATTTTCACACCCAGAAGGGTGTAAAAAGGGTGCTTTTTGAAAAAAGCACTCTTTGCAACACCCTTTAACACCCATAAATCGTCGATTGAAAAAAAAGCAACCCTTTGTTTGGGTGCTTGCCTCGATAGCACCCTAAAATAGGCTCTAAGGGTGCTTTTGTGCCTGAGAAGGGTGTAGGTGACGATTCATCAGATGAAATATGCAGCATAAGAAGAACACATAATTATAATATTTGCGATTTTACGTCTCAAAACCTCGATATGATTATGAGGGTCGTCGTAGTGGAAAGCTACAGAGATTTTGACCATTTGGTGTTCTTTATTGGGCGCTGATATCGCACAGTGCACAGGCTTCTACCTTTTCGCCTCCGTCTTAATTCGACTGCCACGGCCGACATCGAACCCGCGACCTTCGGATTGGCGGCCGAGCAGCGTAGCTACTGCGCGAATATGTGGACCTTGCGTTAAATGACGGCCTAGACTTAGAATGTGTGAAGGTGCTCTCCGAATACAGCAGAATGCCAGCAGAAGCAAATCGCGTTTCATCTATAATGGCAATTAACTGCAATCCACGTTACGAAAGCTCACCTTAGCGTTGGTTATGAGCTACATGTTTGCTATGGATTATATACAGGAACATAATGTTCTCCCGAGTATGGGGGTGTGTGCGTGAGCCTGCGCATGTGTTCGCGTGTAAGCGCGATTGTGTGTACACCCGTGCATGTGTGCGTGCGCGTGTATGTGCGAGTCCGTGCTTGTGTTAAGCGTGCCTGTGCACATGTATACGCCCATGCATGCGTGCGTTTACGGTCGCGTGTGTGCGTGGCCGTATGAGTGTATACGTGTATGTGTGTGCGCCTGTGAATAAGTATGCGTGTGTATCAGCCCGTGCGCCCTCGAATTTCGTGTGTGTGTGTGTGTGTGCGGGGTGGGGGCCACTGCTTCTTAGTTTAAGGTCCCACACCTGTTCAGACTGGGAGACTATATGGGAGGTGGCTTAAGGAATGGCGGTGGTCAACGCACTGTACACGGACTATTCAGTACATGGAAAACAGCTGCACATTTTCGTACCTCATCGTTGCTTACGAACTTGCTGTGGTAGCTGATTAGGTCCGCTGAGGCGCTTCTACGCTCGAAAACGTGGGTTATGACCAATTCACGCGGAAAGCTGTCACTGCACTTATGAACAACCATCGTTTATATTAACAACGTTTAACAAGAACGTGCCCTGCCTTTGCTACAGGTGCTTAGCTAGCTCATTGGGCAACCATATGGAATTATGTGCTGATCATGTGGTCAGCAAAAAGTTTGTTATAACAACCTCGGCACGTTTCGTGGTGTGTGACAAGCCTTCTAAACATCCGCGACTGTGGATTAATTTGTTCCAGCTTCGACTACGCATGTAGTGTTTGCGGCACCATACGCGGAATTGCCAGACACCAGGAAATGCGAAAAGAAATTCCTCTGAAAAAGGTGTAGCGATGCTCTCCCGCTAATGCCACCGAGGACGAAATAATTATTGTTTCTGGTCATTCCATGGTGCACTTTGTTTTCCGCAAGTTTTGCTTCACTATTTTTCGCCCACTGCAATCGCATTCCGTCAAAATACTCAAAGAACCCGAGGCTGATAAATAACCTGCGTCGCTGTGCGGCTGGCTGGAAGGAGAGGTGCCATTTACAAGGAGTCATACTTGAAGCGCAATTCGATTGCCTTCCGCGTCGAACCACTGTCCACCGTATGCGCCATAGCGTTTGCCTTTCGGCGCCGTCTTGGCGGGCTTCCCGCTTCCCCCCCCCCGCTCACCCCGGCCAGCGTTGCCCCCACAACGGCGGTGTAGATAAGCGAATAGTTGCGTCACCGAACACCTGCGTCGACAGCTGCGGCGCCGCCGCCAGTGCCTCCTCCTTCTCTCTCTCAACGTTGCTCTCTCT